CATCATGAGAAGAGAGGACTCTTTGGAAAAAACAATAATGCTGAGGAATGTGGAAGGAAATAGGAAGAGAGAAAGGCCACATGCCAGATGAATGGACTCTATTAAAGAGGTCACATATATTAAGGGTTTGCAGGATTTAAGCAGCACACTGGAGGGCAGGAGGTCTTGGAGATGTTTCATCCATAGGGTCGCCAGGAGTCGAGATCGACGCGAAGGCAGTTAACAACAAAGGATCAGAAATGGCTTGAAGGCGCACACAACAACAACAACATAACATCCTTGTTTCTCAGACTTCCCCGTAAGCAACTCCATTTCTTTTGTTTCAGTTGTTCCACTCCAGCTGAACATAACAGACATCAGGCAGACATTCAGAGACCAAACAGTTTCACAGAGCTGGGGGATAAATTTATGGAGTGTTTTTTGGTTGGTTGGTTGGTTTTGGGAGGTTTTTTTACTACAGTTTCCCAAGTCTTCCAACTTCCATAGGCAATTGTAAGCCCAGAAAAATCTGCTTACCTGCCTGCCCAAGCCTCTTCCCTATAGTTCATGGCAGTATAGTAGAGAGGGAGAATGGTAACTGGCTGTACCTTAAACATCAGGTAAAGCACATCATTTAGCTGAATGGATCCTCAGTAGGGAAACTTGACGTTTCCAAAAGTACAAAAGGGAGAAGGCAAACAAGGGAGAGGAATAAACCCCCACAACCCAAGCAGCTCAATCAGAAATGAACATACCTAGTGGGTACAGAATGGTGACTAAATGGGGGAAAATAGAAGTAAGTGTGGAATGGAGAATGAAACTGAGTGTCATGCAGGAAAATGCAACTGGTTGAACAGGATTAGTGAACAGGAGAACTTTTTATTGCAACACTTGTACTTTTGTGTCTCTGTGACTGAATATTAGTGTTTGAAAATAATATCAGTGCTATCTGTTTTTTTAAATAACCTGGCTTGTTCTGTGGGAACAGGTGGTTAGCTTTTTTCCTTCCTTCCTTACAGTAAGCATTTCTTAATTACATTGTATACAATAAGCAATATAATAATTACAAAAGTGTTCAGTGATACATGCATATAGTATGGCTATATATTCTATGAGGTAGCATAGGATAGTGGTTTGATTGTTGGATTACAACTCTGGAGACTGGGGTTAAATTCCCAGCTTGGCCATGAAACCCCCTGAGTAACCTTGAGCAAGTCACACTCTGTGAACCTCAGGGAAAGGGAAAGGGAAACCTCTGAACAAATCTGCCAAGAAAACCCCATGATAGGGTCGCCATAAGTCAGAAACATCTTAAAGGCAAAGAATAAGAACAATAACAATATATTGCAGGGGTAGGCAACCTTTCCCCTTTAAGGGCTGAGGGACTTCAGCTCCCAGAATCCCAGGAGCTATTGGCCAACATGGCTGAGGCTTCTGGGAGCTGAAGTCCCTCGGCCCTTAAAGGGGAAAGGTTGCCTACCCCTGATATATTGTATATGAGTATATGTTTTCTATATCTCTTTAGTATCAATATTCCACTTCAGATTGCAAGTGCCATTGTTGATAGCTAGCATGGCCAATGCATTGCTGGCCAGGAATAATGGGAGTTGTAGTTCAACAATGTGGAGTGTGCTAGATTGAGGAAAACTGGTGTACATATGCTGTATGGCATGTATAGGGTAGTGAAGGTCTGGTCTTTTATGTGATCCCAATTTCATGCAGCACAAGGAAGGAGTGATACACAGAAAGGTGGAAGGATGGGACACAGAAAGAGCTGGATACAGAAAGAGTGACTAAGCTATATACCCCTGCAATATTGCCAACTCTCTATTCAGAGTTAGCTCTTCCATCATATGATCCATAACATGTTACTGCAAAGAGGAATCTGTCTCTTACCCCCACCCCACCCCCAAAAAATGCCCCATTCATAGGATATGTAATATTGTATTGCAAATATGAGAATCACTCCTACTGAGGTGCATAAAATAATGTTGGATATGATGACATGTCCATGGTGAGTGCTGATGACCAGCATAGGTCACTACAGCATTTGTGAAATTGGCATTGGATATGGCCTGTGTGGTGTAGTGGTTTGAGTGTTGTACTTGAACTTCAGGAGACCAGGGTTCAAATCCTTACTCAGCCTTGGAAACCCACTGAATGGCCTTGGGCAAATCACAATCTCTCAACCTGAGAGGGAGGGAAAACCCCTTGGAACAAATCCTGACAGGAAATTCCTAGAAAAGAGTTTCTATGAATTAGATTTGACTTGAAGCCACATAACAATTAGGTTATTGCTAATACAACCACCTTGTGAATTTGCACTTTTAACAGAAGTATATCAGGAAGTTATTATGCACAGATGTTCTGGTTTGGTGCAAGCCCTCCTCAAAACCAACAAGCAAGCAAAAAACACCCAACACACAAACACATGCACCACTATTTCCAGAAACGTGTGGGAGAGTGTGCAACAGTCATGGGTTTCGTTAGATAAAAAGATAAAGGTAAAGGTAGTCCCTTGACATGAATGTCTAGTCATAATCAACTGTAGGGGGGCGTTACTAAGCCAAAAGCCAGTGTTGTCCGACAAATGCTCTGGTGGTCATGGACCAAACACTTTTACCTTCCCACCAGAGTAGTACCTATTTATCTACTTGCATTTGCATGCTTTTGAACTGCTAGCTTGGCAGAAGCTCGGACTAGTGATGGCAGCTCACCCCATTATGCAGCAGTCAGGCCTCAAACTGCCAACCTGCTGATCTTTCGATCGTCAGAATTGGCGTCTTAACCACTAACCCTTTGTTTGATAGTTGCACCAAAAAAAAACCTGTTCTTGGAAGCTATATTTTTTGCACAAAAAAGTTTTTTGCACCCAAACGCGTTCCTGGAAACAGTGTTTTATGTGTAAAACACTCAATTGTGAAAAAGGATTTACAGAAAAGCAAGTGATTCTTTGTACAAAAATGGTTGCAGAAACAATACCAGTTTTGTCACACACATGCACTGGTGTTTCTTCACAGAATAATTTTCCCCAAACACCTTGGAATGTAAATACAAGACAAAAACCTCAAAATTCTTGCTTGTATGTTATTCTTCCCAACTGAGTTTCCCAAGTGTCATGAAACTCATGGATTGTGGGGTGGGGTGTGGGGTGGGCATTTCAGGAAGCAAATACAGTGGACTGTTCTTTTATGCAAGGAATCTGTTCTGGACCTCCCCCCCCCCCCTCGGCGTAAAGCAAAAACCGCAAGACCTCAAGTCCCATTTGTTTGAATGGGGTGTGCCTGTATGGTGCGGCACGCGGCGTGCACCACAGGCACATGCCCCATTCATTCTGCTCGCCATCCGTATGACCATGAGTCTGCACACAGCAAGCCGATATACACCGTGGATGCACTGTAAATATCCTTTTCCATCCTTACTCTGCATAATAATAGCACTGTGGAAATAGTCTCTTATACACAGACAACAGGCTACTGTACTCCTAGGTCCAAAACACAGTGCAGAAATAGTCCAGTTTGAGACCGCTTTAACTGGCCTGGCTCAATGCTAGGGAATTCTGGGAACCATAGTTTTATGAGACATTTAGCCGCCTCTGTCAGAGAACTCTGGTGCCACAATAAACTCCACTTTCCAGGATTCCCTAGCACTGAGCCAGGACAATTAAAGCAGTCTCAAACTGGGTTATTTCTACAGTGTGGTTTGGACCCTAGCTGCTTTCTTTTCTGGTTGTTAAAGATTTCCATGCCCTACTTGACTAGATTATTTTTAAAATACTAGTATTAAAGCATGACACAGATAAAGGCCCTTGATTTAACTAGTTGCAATGGTTACTTAATTATTAATAATGGTGTTTTCATCTACACTTGTAAAATTAGTTTCATATCCCCTGTAATAACTGGTAAGGAAAAACCCAACAGCCTGAAAGTACAGGATTTCAACAAGGAAAAATTCACTCCTTTCTCTGTTATGTAAAAAAAAAACACTTTAAACTAGCAATTCTCACTGCCATCACTAGGAGACACATGGCAATCTTCCAATTGAGTGCTCCTAGTCACTTCACTATAGGTTTTCCCAGATTATTTCTGTCACTGTGATCCCTGGGGTATCTTCAGGTTTAATCTCTCAGTGTAGCTGTGGCAGAAATTAAATTCTGAGAATGCATCCAGGCTTAGCACATTTTATCATGCAGACTTTTTTCTTTCAAAACTATTTAAAAACAAACAAAACAAGATATGTGAAAAAATGTATGTTTAAAAACAATATAGGATTATGTCAAAAACTATAAACAACAATTAAGAGAAAGCCTTTAGATTTATAATATCTGAACAAAGACAAGTATTAAAGTTGATACAATTTTATCCACTATTCCTTAATATTAACTTAAGTAAGCATTGTTAGCCTAGCTTGATTTTATATATTTAAAAGTAATGTGTTTTTGCATCTCTTTTTCAACAAAATGTTATCTTCTCCCTGTTAACTCTTACTTGATTCCATCTGTTTTACTCACTATAAAACTTTGATAATGTTACAGTGATGGTACTTGATCTGGCAGTGCCATACTCTGTCCATCTATTTATCCATCTGTTTATCTGTCTAATCCTGGGGTAGGCAACCTTTTTGAACCGGGGGCAGATTCCCTGAAGTTGTCCTTTCTGGCGGCCCCGGGGGGGGATGGTGGCGCATGCGCTCATGCTGCCGCTGCCGCCGCTCCGTGCACTGCTGCAACTGCTTCCATGCATGTTGCGGCCACCATTTTGTTCTCCAAAATGGCGGGCACGGCGTGTTTGCGCATGCGCAGTAGTCCTGCGCATGTGCAAATGTGTCGCGGCCGCCATTTTGGAAAACAAAATGGCAGCCGCAGCGCGCGTGGCCGCACGGTGACCAAAACGCGTGGTGGCAGGGGTCCGCCTGGGCCGGTAAGCACGGGGCCCTGGGCCGGAATCGGCCCGGGGGGGCATAGGTTGCCAGCCCCTGGTCTAATCTATCTGTAATCCCTGGGCTGTCTAAAATTATGTCATTTAATCCAAACTAACACTGAAATACATGTGTGTGTGCGCGCATGCACACACACGCACCTTCAAGTAGCCTGTTGACTTATGGTGACCTCATTAAATTCGTAGGGATCTCTTAGGCAAGGAAATACTTAGTTTTGCCAGTTTTGTTACAAGGCCTGGTATTTGTTGGCAGTCTCCCATTCAAGTACTAACCACAGCTGACCTTTCCTAGTTTCCAAGATCAGGAGAGATCTGGTGCCTTTTGAGTATTTAGGCAAGCATAAATGAGTGTAAAATAATTCATTAATAGAATTAAGAATATTGCCTGGATTAGCTCTAGGTTGATGTGCATTTTTTAAGCCACAGTTGCATATTATTTGTTGACACAGGGCATTTTCTTCTGAAAAGGAAGAAAATCAATTTATGGGCCACTTGCTTTCTTTGAGCCCTGATCATTAGTAAATGTTCCTTGTATGTATATGAACTTTTGATCTATGTTTCAAATGTTTCCTTGTCTTTTCAAAGAGAGGTTATTTTACATTTTTGGATGAGCAATTCAACACACAACATGGGGTTCAATGTAACATTGATGGAGCTAAAACCCACATATCTTCTAAGAGGATCATCTTGCTCCCAGTATCTTAAGGGGTGGGGGAAATAATAGCGTCTTTTCTCTCTGATATCCCAGCAAGGAGTGGAAAACATCTGCTCCTTAGGGAGCTGGGTTTGGGTTGCCTTACGCGGCCCAGGCACAGCTTTGCCATGGGTTGAGGGTATGTGCCATCTAAACACCATACCCCCAAGCCGCACGGAAGCCAGCTTTAAATGTCCATCTGTTTTGGGCCTTTGTTACGGAAACATATACTTGTGCCTATACTTCTGAACTATTGTATATACTTGACTATAAGTTGACCCCATGTATAAGTTGAGGGCAAATTTTGGGGCCAAAATTATAGATTTTGATATGACCTGTGGATAGGTTGAGGGTAAAACTTAGGAGCATGTAACAAAGGATGTGAAGGATGAAGCAAAGGAAAACAATGCCAGAGAACTACAACATTCCTGCAGACATAACTATTTGTGCTCACCCTAAAGTGGAGTGGTCAGTGCTTCCAGGACAGCTTACATTTTTGCCTTTCACCAGAGGCTGATTCCTTTTTTTTTCAAATAAGAATTACAGTACAGTATTTATTGTGCTTACATTGGCCTGTGGATAAGTTGGCTCAGTTGTGTTTTTTTAGGTCCATTTTTTGACTAAAATGTTTAGACTTACGCATGAGCACTCTAAGGACTTTACTCCTTTTTATCGTCCTAAATGTGTAGTTGTTACCCATCTGTGTTTTTAGCTACATCCATGTGAATTTGTATTTAGCAGGATGTGGCAATGTATCCTTTCTTATGTATAGTCTCTCTCTTTCTCCCCCCCCCCCCCATTCCCATCTTGTATTTTCACTGTCATAGCATGCATATGAAGCAAACTCCTGATCAGATAAGCATTTGGAGTCGGGGGGGGGGGGTGAGATTGCATTTGATTATGAGCCTGGCAGCAGATGTTTTACACAAATCCAGCTCACTGCATCCAGTCAGTTTCCATGGTGATGGAATCAGTAATTGTCGAGCTCTGGCGCTCTCCCTCCTCTTTTTCCCTACAAGGTGGAATGCATCTGAATCCTCCCCAGACGATTCCTCGGCCCTAAAAATGTAGCAGGGAAGCTGATGGGATGAGGGACGTCAGAGAAACAAGATGCTATTATTTCCCCCACCCCTTAAGATACAAGGAGCAAGACTATCCTCTTAGGAGATATGGACTCAGAAGATGCTGAATAGATGGGCAGGAGTTTCCCTGAAAAAAGCAGACTCGCTGATTGGCTGCTGTTTGTGGGGTGCTTGCCAATCGCAGCACAACTGGGCTCCAGCACTCTAAACATAAGCAAAGCTACATGCTTATTCTTTTTCCCCCCTTGCACTATATATGCCAAGCAAAGGTGTGCACAAGGGCTCTGCTTGCACATGGCGAACTGAAAACGGATCTGATTAAAGAGCTCCCTCCGAGGCCATCTGCTCTTTGAGAGCACCCTTCCTTCTGCAGAAAAAGCATTAGGTCGTCCTCCTGCTTTGCCAGAGGGAAATTGGTTGTCGCAAATCATGG